TTGGAAGAGCTGTCGGCAGCTCCAGAGCCCAAGTACAATGCAGAAAATGCACTTTTTCTGGTTACAAAAAGGTGAGAGGCCCCCGTGGGTAGAAAGTTGGAATTTGACAAGGAAATCACCCTTGTTAGAGCCTGACTGCGGGGTTCTGCGAAGAGGACCTTGTAGGCCAGCGTTTTGAGATTTCAGGTTTGAGGTGTTGACCCCAGGAGTACTGGTGTGTCTAGGTCAGCAGTTTAGAGCGGGAAGAAACTTGTTGTACCCGTTGTGCCACTGAGGGCGTGACAAAGAGAAGGGGGTTGTGTTTTCTGTCTGGACCACCATGAATCAGAAAAGAGCTTACAGTGGGCTTTTCTTCTGGGACAGCAGTTCCAGCACCACAGAATCTAAACTCTTCATCGTGGTGGGAACTGCAGCAACTATGAACTGCTGCCTCGCGAATAATTTCTGTTCTTACCTCTACCTTCAATGGTTTACATCTGCTGGGTTGAAGCTTGGGCACGTTCAGAGCGTTCCTGTAAGGGCTGGGTTTGGTCTGACTGGTTGCTGAATTCTTGTCTCTCCCAAATGGATCCTGTGTTGTTTGTATTCCAAGAAAAAATGGTTCGTCCACTTTTGAGGACAATGAAGAAAATCTGTCTTTCCAGTTATAGATAGTCTTACAGACGTAGTCTTTTTCTGAGCAGCTCAAGAGGGTGGAAAGCTACTATTTGGCAGTGGAAGGACACTCAATATTAAGCAATATGGTATTAAGCAATTCCTTTTGATGTTCCTGTCAAAATTGGTTTTGGCTTCACTGCTCAGGAGGCTGATCACAGCAAACGGAGTTTGTTCATGTGCAGGACCTCGTCCCTGGCACCGGCTCTGCGCGCGTGTGGGAAGGGATTTTCTGGCAAAGGGTGAGGGAAGGGTCTCTCTTGGCTTTGCTGCAGGTACAAGTTCTCAGGCCAGGCTTTGTCAGAGCCCTTTTTCCTGTGTACGTTGCCAGGCCCTCCCTGATGTTCCTGCTGCCTTGCACAGTGTTCAGAGCCCTGGGCCTGCTGTGTATTACTTGGACACTGAGGGGGGCTCCCCTGCAAACGTGGGCTGCGGGGACAAGTGCTCTTTCCTGGAACGCTGCGTACCTGCATGCAGTGCGTTTTAGGAGGCCTAAGAAATGGGCTGAGAAGTCGAGTCCTCGACTGGCCACGCAGCCTGTGTCTTTGGTGTTTGCCTGTGCGTGGGTTTGCCAGCAACTAAAATACAAACAGGGCGTTAAGTTTAAGAAAGGGAGGCTCACGCCCCGTGGGAAAGGACGTTGCTGATCCTTGCTTAAAGATTCCCAGAAGATAAAGAGTTCTGGTGGGAGAGCAGTGTGGCTGGATTTGTTCTGAACAGCTCTTCACACCTTGCTGGGTTTTCCACACTGACTCCTTCCCTGCTCTTTGCCCGCAGAAGTGGTACAGAAGGTGAACAAGATGATCGCCACGGGGCAGTACGGAAGGCTCTTTGCTGTGGTCCATTTCGCCAGCAAGCAGTGGAAGATAACCAGTGAAGACTTGATTATGATGGACAACGTACTGGAGGCTGAATGTGGAGACCGAATCCGGATGGAAAAGGTGACGTGCCGTGCTTCCGCAGCGCTGGGGTGCTGCGCTGCGCGTGGGGGCGGAGCAGAGTGCCTGGGAACGGCCCTGGAGGCAAAACCCGCTGCCAGTTTTTAAAACCACGTCCTGAAGAGCTCCTGTCGGATCTCCCGTTCCCGCTCCAGCTGTTTGCTCTGCCTTCGGTTCCTGTGTCAGGGATAGTGTGATTGTGGTGGCGGCTGAACAGGGCTGGAAGGAGTCGTGCCAGACTGCTGGGAGGCAGATTTTTGTTGTACTAACTTCATCCAAAAAAAGAAAATGACAGTTGTTGTTTCTAGAGACGGCAGCTAAAGACTGTGTTTACCTTGAGGCTCCACCACCCAAAATACTTGCAGCGCTCCCAGAGGGACTGTCGCTGCTCAGGGCTTTGCAAGATCCTTATCGCTGAGGGCGCTGGCTGGAGGAGCGGAATGGTGCGTTTGCCAAGATGCAGCTCAGTGTCTCTGTCCTTCGCCTGGGTTAACTAGCAGGAACTTGTAGAGGCTCATTAATCCAAATCTTAAATGAAAGATGATGAAGTGGGATTCTGTTGGCTTAGTGTTGGTTGTTAGAGCCGAGCAAGCAGTTAAGGAGAGTTGGGCAGATTTTCTACTCATCCATTGCCTTGACGTCCCGTTTTGAGGCAGCTTTTCAGGCGTGCCTTCAGCTGTGTCCTGCGCCCTTGTGTGGCAGAGAGGAGTGATTTGCGTGGAGCAGCCGGCTAGGAATGCAAAGGTCTAGGTGGGAGTGAAGAAGGTGAAAGACTTGCCTAATCGCCGTAACCCTGTGGGGATTTTACTGGCAAATATCTGCCTCAAACAAAAGTCAGAACATCTCGTGACTCTGTGTGGTGCTTCTAACTGCTCTGTACAGTGGCGTGGGGAGGGAGGCCGCCTGTAAGAAGCGCTGCCTCTCCTCACGATGTCCTCGCTGTTATCCCGCCTGGTCCTTCAGGCAGAGGCAGCTGGTTGAAGTGCCCTGAAACAAAACAGCTCGTCCCCGGGTGGGGAATCCCCAACAGATGCTCGTTTCTGTATTGCCCATCTTGAGGCCTCATGGAGGAGCGTGAGGAAAGTGTTCCTCCACTGGGATACGGAGCAATTGCTGTAAGAATCCAGTGATTTTAGGAGCTGCCATTCATTCAGATCCCACACGAGGCATGTTATTCTTCTTCCCTGTATTGCTTTTCCTATCTCTTACAACTGCTGGTGAGCAAGAACAGAAAGGTTCAGCATGTTCTGATCAACGTGGAAGATACTGCTGAAGTATGTTGAGCAGGGCAAGCTCACCAGGAAGACTGTCTGTCCATGGATCTGTTTCTTGCCCCTTAGCTGCCTTCCCCCCACCGCTCTCCAGTAACAGCGTCAGGTTTGAAATGTTTAAATGCCTCTTTTTAAGCAGTTTGGCTCCTTTACGGGGACTGTAGGATTCAGAAGATACTGTTTGTGTTTCTGCTGGGACAACGAACCGGTGACATGTGCCTGATTTATCTTCCATAGGTTTTGCTGGTTGGTGCTGACGACTTCACGCTTATTGGAAGGCCGCTCCTGGGGTAAGCTGTCTCATACAAGAATTCTCTTCCAGACAATTCCTGTACTTAATGGTAGCTTCAGGGCTCCTACAGTCCCTGAAACTGAAGAGAAACCTGGATTTATTAGCAGTAGCTTTCTTCCCAGCCCTGTGGCTTTTGAAAGAACCACCGATGAAACAAGCTGGTCGGCCTCTGCTCACCGACCGTTGCCGCAGGGCCCGGGCAGAGCAGCAGGGCCCAGTTCTGAGGTCACTGGAGGACGTGCACTTCGATTGTGTTGGATCTTTTTTGCATGGTGTAAGCCTTGCACGAACTAGCAGTAAATCTTGCTCTTCAACATCTTTACTCCCTTACCCTAATTTCAGTGATGGTCATCTTGGAATAACCCAGAAATTCCTTTCCATCCCTTAATCCCTTAATTTAACTTGGGTTTTTTAACCCCTTTCCTTTTGCCCTTGTCTTAACCCAACAGGCCTTGATCTTAATGTTAGAGTGCCTAATTTTCCCTTCCTCCTAGTCCAGCAATCTCAGAACCGGGGAGCAGGACTTTACCCCCTTGGCACCACCTCCCTGCCGGTGCTGCAGGAGTTGCCGTACGAACTGGCAGAACGGCCGGTTCCCCGGCCCAGGAGCAGGTGCTCCTGCTCAGCCCTGGGCACTAGCCAGAAGCAAAGCCGTGAACTGTTGTTTTCCCCAGGACGAGAGGTTTTAGCGGTAAAGCACAAGTCAAGATAAGGTGGGTTGCAGGTGCTCAAAGTGTCTGGAAGCCCTGACTGCGGTCTGGTTGCCGGCCAAACCGCGCGTTTAGGTCTTGGCTTGAGCTGCAGCAGCTTTGGCAGAGGATGGTCAGGTGAGGAGGAACTTGTGCGTCTGAGAACTATTTCTTGGTGGGTCGTAGGTTCAGGTTAGAAATACCACGTGGTGTCGGCTTGGTTTCACTTCTGAGTGCTTTCTGTGGTCCCGGGGGGCTGTTGGTGATCAAGAGTTACCTGTGACGTGTTTGTACGGTTGATAACGTGGCTGCAGT